GCAGGAGCTCTACCTCAAATCTCACCCCTTTGCTATGAACGGTCACTTCCTGAGCTCATCCAGCCCCGTGACTTGAAATACCCTTTGTGCCCTAATCATGCCCAAGTTGCTCCATGACGCCATCACCTGGCTGGTTTGCGGACATGCCAAGCTCATTGCATCCAAGGCTGAGGATTTCTTCCGAGTAAACTTGCTTCTCACCCGGGGCTCTCCAGCTCACCACGGGTCTATCTTTTTCCCTCCATTCTCAGAATCAACCTGACCCAAAACCCATCAACATACCCATAGCCCAAGCATGTCTCTCCCTCCCCCACACCAGGGCCAACCATCCTCATCACCGTGTGCATGGACAATGTCCAGCCTTCCAGGGGACCCTTCCCTCCACACTTGCTCCCTTTTCAAGCTGTTCCCCAAACAGCCATGGGGGGCATTTAAAAACAAGTCAGATGTATCACTCCTCTCCGCCAGCCTGCAGGTCCTGGACCCATAGCTGCTCACGCTGCCACACACTCACTCTAACCACAGTGGCCTCCTGGCTACTCCCTGAGCTGACCAGCATGTGCCAGCTCTGACTAGCCTTGAATAGCTCTACTCTATCTGGGGCAGCTGCATGCCTTGCCCTCACATACTCGAGTCCAGTGGCACCTGCACAGAGAGGTCTTCTCTGACTGCCTTGCCCAGTGCAGTCCCTCACTGTTCACCCCTTTCACCGCCTTGTTGCTCCCTGTGGAAGCATCACCACCGTCCCTGCACTGGTTCAACTTGTCCGTTCACTTCATCCCTCCCCTATGCGTGTCTTTTCCCAGAACATGAGATGGGGCAGGAAATTACCTCAGCCTTCCTGCCATGTCCCCAGGGCCTTGACCAGCAGCTGGTCCAGTCGACATGCAGTGCAATCTGATCAATGAATCAATGAATAGATCTTCACATTAATGAGAAAAGCAAGTTTAGCACCCTCCAAAGATAATGAAATGAGTGCACCCATGAAACAAGAAATGGGAAGCAGGAAACAGGCAAAACCAGAATAGAAAGGCCCAAATAATGATTTTTGTAATGAATCTGACATTAAATATGTCTAACATTAAATCTAATATCTAACATTAAATGTCTAACATTAAATCTAACATTAAAATATCTAATATCTAACATTCAATAATATCTAACATTAAATCTAATGTTAATTAGATATCTAACATTAAAAATATCTAATATTTTTAGATATCTAAATAATATCTAACATTAAAATGTCCAGGTCTTTGGATATAAAATCTTAGTAGAGGGACTAAAAAGCAAAACAAATTGAATTAAAGAGCACCTTGGAGAGCTGGACCGGGGCACCGAACATCCCCTACAAAGAAGAGGTTGATTCCAACCAGTTCTGGCTTAAGCATAGTGTAACTTAAGTATTTACTCATTAATTAATTTACTAACTAGTTCATTCAATTCATACTTATCAAGTGCTTACAATGAAGCTTTGCTCAAGGTGATGGGGATAAGCAGTGAATGAAATAGCCACTGGGTCTACCTGCAAGGAGCTCACATTTTAGTCGTGGGAGGCGAGACAAAAACAAAATCAGTAAGCTGTGCTAGACAGTGCTAACTAAGTCGAGTGGAGAAGACGGAAGCAGGCAGTGGGTTACGGGTGCCCAGAGGAGGAGTGGTGAGAGTCTAGAGAGACTGGTCAGGAACATGCTCACCGAGAACAAGACTTTCCACAAAAACTGGAAGGAAGTGTGGCCCAGGGATCTCTGGAAGAAGAAGGCTCCTGGCAGGAGGAACAGCAAGCATAAAAGCCCTGAGGCAGAGACACACCCGACACATTCAAGGGATGGCTGCGTAGAGGCCAACAGGATTGGTCGGGGGACAGTGAGAACAGGAGATGAGTCTAGAGAGGTAATGGCAGGCCGGAAGTCTCACTGTAAAGGCTGACTTTGAGTGAGATGAGGAGACACTGCCAGGTGTTAAGCACAATGGAGGGAGGACAATGGAGGGAGGACAACAGAGGGAGGACAACGGAGGGAAGCCACTACAATGACCCAGGGATAGCCTGGCTTAGGCTAAGACTGGAGCAGTGAAGGATTTCCAGACCAATGGTATGAGATGCAACAGGAAGAAAAGAATCAGAGATGAGTCCAGGGTATTGTCTGAGCAGCTAGGAGGACAGAATCTCCAAAACCTGAGATGGGGAGTCAGCCAGAGAAGCATGTCTGAGAAGGGCTCAGCTCTGACTACAATAATGTGAGATGTTTAGGAGGCAGCTGAGTTGGGCAACGGGATTGAAAGTCAAGCATCGCACAAAGAGACCCAGGCTGAAATGCAAATTGACCAGATAATAGAGAAAAAGACCAAGGATGGAGTCTTGGGTCCCCAACATTAAGACTGGGAAAAGAGGGAGGTTGAATCAAGGAGCTGAGGAGAACCAGGCAAAGCATGGAGGCCCAGGCAGGAGAGTGTTTAGGGAGGAATAGGACCACAGGCTGATGGCTCAAGGAAGAGAAGGACTGAAAATGCCACTAATCCCAGCTGCACCAACACCACTGGCAATGGTAGAGTGTCAGGGCAGGAACTTGATTTCAGTGAATCAGATAGACAATGGGAGATTAATGTCAATAATACAGTCATATAATCTAGCTGTAGATAAAAGCAGAAAGGGGAGGTAGCTGAAGAGGGGTTCAAAAAAAGGGGGACTCTTCAGAGGACTGGAAAAAAACAGCCTATTTTTACAGAGATGAGAGTTATACAGTAGAGAGAAAAAGACAAAGGCCAACGAGAGACAGAGATGTGAGCCTGCAAGGGACGGGCTCCAAGTGCACTGCAGCAGGGTGGTGTGGATGAGAACAGCCCAGACAGGACAAGGGAAGGCAGAATGTGGGGCACCAAGGCAGTGGGATGTACAGAGAATTAGACCATAGGTATCTGACAGCTTCTATTTTCTTAATGAAACAAGAAGTAAGGCCACCTACTGAGAGACACAGGATGGAGGAGGAAGTAGGAGGTTCAAAGAGAAGAATGGCATGAAATAGCTCCCATTTGTGTATGTAAATGTAAGGATAACAGAATTAAAATGTATACTTATACAATACTACAGCAAGACCGAAGACAAATAAACTTGGTCTAAGAAAATCATTGCTAGCCAGGTATAGTGGTGCATGCCTATAATCCCAGAACTTGGGAGGCTGAGGTAAAAGGATTGTTGCAAGTTTGAGGCCAGCCTGGCTACATAAGTGAGTTCAAGGCCAGCCTGAACTGTATAGCGAGACCCTGTCTCAAAAACACACACACACACAAAAAAAATGAAGCAGTCAAGAAAACTCAGTGGAAAACAAGAACAAAGAAAGAAAGATTTAAAGGGAAAATATGGTAAAGAAAACATACCTTAATTCAAACATGTCAATAATCACAATAAATGTGAACAAGTTAAAATTTCTAATCATAAGTCAGGGACTTTTCTTTGGAGTTTTACAAAGGAGATGAATGTACCTTACCTGGACATATTTACACCAAAATGTAAACAATAATAGTTACTAGTTGATGTGTTTAAGAGTAATTTTGATTTTTGTTAAACTTTTTAATGCTTTCTGAATTTCTCAGGACGTGGTAAATTTCATAATCAGAAAAAAATGGAAGTTGTAAAAACCATCCGCGTACTTCAGCAAGTCTTCATGGAAACTTCATTTGCTGTCCAAATAACTGCTGGGATCCAAAGAGGCTTTAAGAAAGTCCCCACTCTCCAGGAAATGGCTAGACAATGAACATGGGATCATAATAGAAGAGTGCAGGCCCATATGAAGACCAGGCTCCCCTGCTGACTCCAAGCCCTGGTGTAGATAGGAATAAGGTTAGAGGAGGTGGCGCATGTAGCATGAAGGATGTGACTCAGGCTGAGCCTGGAGATGACATTCCGGGCTGCAGGCACAGCAAAAGCATGGGAGGAGCACAGTGGGTCAGCACAGAGGCAGGGTAGGAAGCATGGACGAGGTAGGTGTGGGGTTCAGGGAGTTAAAAAAGCTGTGGCTGGTGAGCTGCACAAAGGGGCAAAGGGAAGCAAGCAGGAAGCGAAGTAAGCAGGTGAGAGGAGTCATTTCCAGTGTGGACACCTTGTGTCCAAAGCACATGAGGACGAACAACCGGGGGCCCTCACTAGCACACATGTACGTGCACACACACACATGCACACACACACTGCTTCTTGTTCTCTGGCCCTTTAGCCTGGAGGCTGTCACAGCCAACAGAGCTCCCTTGGCCTGCTCTGGCCACCCTGACTCCATCCAGCATGCACTGTGGCTCACCACCTCCCCCAGTGAAGCGTCACCAGCTGTCCTGACCCAGAAGGCCTGGCTCTTTAGCAGGATTTGGCACATGGATGTGTCATGTAGGGATGGTCAGAGGGGCAAGGACAGGAACAAAGGCAGGAGCCAGGCAGGGGAAGACAAGGAGGAAAAGAGCGTCAGAAAGGGGAACCAGGAATCTTGGCCACTGGGGGCACAGCGCACTGAGGAGCAGGAGACAGGAAAGGTGATGCTGTTTCCAGGCAGAAACCCTGAGGTGGGAGCTCATAGCTCTGGCACAGGTCCTGGGGGCAGTATTTGGAAAGGGGTAGAGATGTCAGGGTGGCATTGGGCAGTCTGAAATCAAGGGGTCCACAGGGTGTCTGGGATCATCAGAAACCCCCACCCCAAGGCTCGGGAGAGGGTTACAGCAAAGCTGGCCATGAAAGTGAAGCCCACAGGCTGCGAGTCTTGGGGACTCATGGGGGTAAACTTGAGGCTCAAGTCAACGCGGAGATTCGGAGAATCCCTGCCCACCTTCTCCTGGGTAAGCAGGACAGGCAGCCCCAGCACACAGCCGTCCCAGGAGCAGCACCCACAGGCAGTGATGCTGGGCTTACACATTGCTGTCTCCCTCCCTCAGAGCCAGTTAAACTTTGTCTAAGAAAATGATTGCTGAATGCTCTTCCATAAGTGACCACTGGTCACACTTTAATCCTCTCCTCAGCCCAAATACAGCTATTGCTGAAGGTCGGGTGGTCACACCTGGGAGAGGGTCAAAGCACAGGCCCAGGTGTTAGCCGGAGCCGCCCTTCAGTGGGCAGGTGCTCCGTGAAGCTGACATGCTCCCAGCTGCTCAGTGGGGGAAGCCAGCGTGGGTGCCACTGTAGGAGGCACGGGCTTGTCACTTGACCCTGTGGCCCTGAGTTGGCCCCTCTGACGTGGCTCGTCTTCAGCCCCCAGCGGGCCCCATGGGATTTCCTGAGCTCCTGGACCAAGTTGGCGGCCTGGGCAAGTTCCAGTTTCTCCAAGCGGTGGCCCTGGTGGTCCCCATCATGTGTGTCACCACCCAGAACATGCTGGAAAACTTTTCCGCTGCTGTGCCCAGCCACCGCTGTTGGGTGCCGCTCTTGGATAACAGCACCACCCAAGCCAGTGTCCCTGGGACCCTGGACCCCAAGGCCCTCCTGGCCGTGTCCATCCCAGTAGGCCCCAACCAGCAGCCCCACCCATGCCGCCGCTTCCGCCAGCCACAGTGGCAGCTCCTGGACCCCAATGCCACAGCCACCAACTGGAGCGAGGCTGCCACGGAGCCCTGTGTGGACGGCTGGGTGTACGACCACAGCACCTTCACTGCCACCGTGGTGACCAAGGTAAGGGCTACCGGGCACCCACTCCAAGTTCTGGCACCTTGGAGGTCAAAGTCACAGGTCACAGTTGACAGTACACAAATGGTCCTGTCCTGGGACCTCCTGGGCCTCCCTCACCCCCGGATTGGCTCACAGCCCCTTGTCAGCCATGTGTCCCACAGGGGAAAGGGTGGCAGCACTCAGTCCCCAGAGGCCGCCTGAATGCAGGCTCGCTCCTCTGACATCCACACCTGCATGGGGTCCTGGCTGGCTGACACTCAGCTGTGACCTCGGGGAACCAAGTCACTGGGGACTGGATGACTATTCTCAGGGTTCCCTGAGGCAGGGACACAGCCAAGTGGATTCTAAAAAGGGGCATCAGCCAAATCGGGGCCACTGGGGAGGGGCAGCTTGTCCCTGTAAGCAGAAAGGGGCCTCTCTGTAAGAACAGGAGGGAATCAACCTGTGGTGGGGAGAGCAGATCAGCACAGGTGGCCACTGCAGGGTGGATGGGGAGGGGCGGAGAGAAGAGGGACGGAGAGGGCCTGACCATGGCCTGTGAGGCAACAGGAAGCCATACAGGGGCTTAGGCCAGCAACAAGGTGCTCCTCAAGAGACACAGCTACGCCCGCGGTCCCCTAGGGCCCTGCTCTGTGACCCCAAAGGCTATGTCCCTGGGGTCTGTCCCTTCCCCCTCCCACCTAGGTTGGCCTGGCCTCCTGAGCTCTGTCCCCCTTCTCTCCCCACAGTGGGACCTGGTGTGTGACTCTCAGGCCCTGAAGCCCATGGCCCAGTCCATTTTCCTGGCTGGGATCCTGGTGGGTGCTGCAGTATGTGGTCACACCTCAGACAGGTGAGCACTACAGAGCCCGCCTGGCCACTTCCTCCTTGTCGGGTTCTCTTCCTCTTCTTCTTCTCCTTCTTCTTCTCCTCCTCCTCCTCTTCTTCCTCCTTCTCCTCTTCTTCCTCCTTCTCCTCCTTCTTCTTCTTTCTTCTTCTTCTTCTTCTTCTTTTCCTCTTCCTCTTCCTCCTCCTCTTCTTCCTCTTCTTTTCTCCTCCTCCTCCCCTCCTCCTCCTGCTCTTCTTCCTCTTCTCCTTCTCCTTTCTTCTTCTTTTTTTCCTGTACTTGGGATTAAACCCAGGACCATCACACTGAGCTATAGCCCTAGCCCTTTTTCTATTTTTCATATTGAAACAGGGCCTGGCTGAACCACTAAATTGCCCAGTCTGGGCTTGAACTAGCAATCCTCCTGCCTCAGCCTTCCAGAATGTTGGGATTATAGGCATGTGCCACCATGCCTGGAATCACTCCCTCTCTGAGCCACAAATTCACAATTTTACTCGGGTTGTACAGCATCCTTGTTTCTTGTCACTACTCACTGGCAACACCAGCTGGGCAGCTGGGCTGGTGCTCCCTGTGATCCCAGCACTCTGGGAGGTTGAGGTGGGAGGATCACAACTTCTAGGCCAGACTGTGCAACTAGGGGACTTATTGAGTCCCTGTCTCAAACAAACAAAACAAACCTGCTGGGCCGTGCACCTGTCTTCAATGTTGCTTGAGTGCTCCTGGGGATGGGGAACTCACTCCGAAGGCTAAGCATGCTTTCAGAGTGGCCCTTGGGTTCTCTCTCTGCTCAGGGGCTTCTACAGAGGACAATGCGGGTCTGGCCTGAGGTGCGGCAAGCACAGGGCAGGCTCTCTGTGGCCCAGCTCCCCATGGTGGCCAATGTGTGTGTGTTACAGGTTTGGGCGCAGGGTGGTGCTGAGCTGGAGCTACCTTCAGATAGCCGTGTCAGGCACAGCGGCCGCCTTCACCCCCACCTTCCCGCTCTACTGCCTGTTCCGCTTCCTGTCAGCCTTCGCGGTGGCGGGTGTCATGATGAGCACAACCAGTCTCTGTAGGTCCCTGGGCAGGTGCCACACAGAGGAAGCTCTAGGCAGGCCCTGGGCCTGAGCCTGCATCTCTTTGCAGTGATGGAGTGGACGTCAGCACAGGCCCGCCTCTTGATGATGACCTTGAATTCTCTGGGCTTCAGCTTCGGCCAAATCCTGATGGCTGTGATGGGCTATGGCCTGCGTCACTGGGCACTGCTGCAGCTGGCCGTCTCTGCCCCTTTCTTCCTCTGCTTTGTCTACTCATGGTAGGTGCTGAACCCTTTCCCGTGGAGGAGGAGACCTTGCCTTCTGCTTGGGGCCTGGTGCTGGAGCCTCCTTTACCTGGGAGCAGAGGCCCTGGGTGCCAGAGACTCGGGTTGTGGAGCTCGGATAGGGCTCTGAGAGTCTGGCACACCTCTGCAGCCCAGAACACAAGCACCCCAGATGCATCCCTGTGCCCCGACTGTCCCCTTCAGTCATGCACCCCCATGCCCAGGGCAGCACTGCACTCTGACCCCCATGGCATACAGCAGGCACAGGCCACAGTTTCTCTGGGGGTCTCAGCAGCCAACAGCTCCAAGTCCCTCCAACACTGCAGACCCCTCCCACGCTCCACTCCAGGTGGCTGCCAGAGTCAGCACGGTGGCTGCTGTCAATGGGAAAGCTGGGTCTCGGCCTGCAGGAGCTGCAGAAGGTGGCCTCCATCAACCGGAAGACAGCAGGGGACACCCTGACCAGGGAGGTGAGGTGGGGCCAGGTCTTCCCCCAACCCCTGCCATGAGCTCTCTCCCTGACCCTGCTCAGGGCTCCTGCTCCTCTGAGATGAGGGTGTCTGGGAAAGAGTTGCTGAAAACCCCAGAGCCAACGCCACCCCACCCCGCAGGCCTTGCTCTCAGCTATGCAGGAAGAGTCTGGTGGGGCTCAGGCTTCCGCAAGCCTGGGTGCCCTGCTCCACGCACCCAGCCTGCGCCTCCGGACCTGGATCTCCATGCTATGCTGGTAGGTGCCTGCCCACACCTCCCCTCTGGTCTGACAGAAACCACCAGGCCAGGGGGCTCCCTGAGGGGGCTGTAGGGTCAAGCGATAGGAGGATTCATGACCAAGATCAAGGCACTGGCCAACCCGCAGGGCAAGTAGGACAGCAGGCAATCAGGGAGCCACAGACAGGGACAGGCACCCATCAGGAGTGGGGCTACTGTGAGAATCCAGAAGCCTGCGCTACTCAGCAAAGACCAAAACCACTGCATCATGGAGGGAGGCTGGAGTCATGGCAGGACATGGCCACTCCCAGACAAAGCAACCAAGGGGAGAGGGAGATGCCCCCGGCTCCTGCCTCCTCCACCTGGGTCTGTGCCCCAGCTCCTCACCAATGCCTCCCATCGACCAACCCGAGGAAGGGTCTCTTTGGCAAATGGGAAATGAAGTCAGAGACCAAGCAGGAAGAAAGAAGCACAAACCCCAGCTCCTCTCTGTCCCTGCCCAGGTTTGCCTTTGGCTTTACTTTCTACGGCCTGGCCCTGGACCTCCAGGCCATGGGCAGCAACATCTTCCTACTCCAAGGGCTCATCGGGGTGGTAGACATCCCCACCAAGATGGGCACCAATCTGCTGCTGGGCCGCCTGGGCCGCCGCCCCTCACAGGCCGGCTCCCTGGTGCTGCCCGGGCTCTGCATCTTGGCCAACACAGTGGTGCCACACGGTTAGTGGTGCGAGCTCCCGAGGGAGGTTTCCCTACCCACGGGCTGCGGGTCAAGGACAGGACCCTGGGTCCCCTTCACAGAGCAGCATCCTGGTTAGCAGGGGCCTGGTGGGAGTTGTGGCTGCTCTGGGCAAGTGCAGTGGCCATGGAGTCCAGGGGACAGAATGGGAGATGTGTGTGGTTGCAAGGGAGAATGGGGTAATGGGTTTCAGTAGGAGAGGACGGGCGTGGAGGAGGACCCCTAAGAGGTATGGTCAGAAGTCACTTAGGGTGCAGGGTGGGGTCTGGAACCCCCAAAGTGAAAACATTTTGCAGGCTTGGAGTACAGGGAAAAACCCCTGAGATAAAGGGAATCCCACTGCCCCCCCACAGTTCGGATGCCAACCCTGCCGCCCTGTCTCTGTCTGCAGACATGGGGTCACTGCGTTCAGCCCTGGCCGTGCTGGGGCTGGGCTCACTGGGGGCTGCCTTCACCTGCCTCACGGTCTACAGCAGTGAGCTCTTCCCCACTGTGCTCAGGTGAGGCTGTCCTGGCGGGAGCGGGGGCGGGGCAGGGTGTCCCGGACTGTAATACTTGAGCCAGCGTCTCCTTTTCATATGGCGCAAGTACATCCCAGCCAGGCCTGATGCCCAGGGCCTCACTGGGCCAAGTAGGGCTGAACCTTGGCATAAGGCCAAGGCCAAGGGCCGGGCAGCAGCTCCTCACAGGTGTGTCTGCCCTGGCAGGATGACAGCTGTGGGCCTGGGTCAGATGGCTGCCCGAGGGGGAGCCATCCTGGGGCCCCTGGTCCGGATGCTGGGCATCCACAGCCCTTCACTGCCCCTGCTGTTATACGGGGCAGTGCCGGTGCTGAGTGGCTTGGCCGCACTGCTGCTGCCCGAGACCCAGAACATGCCGCTGCCTGACACCCTCCAAGATGTGCAGAACCAGTGAGTGGAAGCCCTGGGGCCCCCTCCTTCCCTGCCTTCCCACCTCCTTCCACTCTCTCTTCCTCCAGAGAACCTCAGAAGAGGGGCAAGTAGAAGCCCAGAGAGGGACAGGGCCAGCCCAGAGTCACACAGTACATCTGTGGGAGGGTGGAGGCCCAGAGCTGAGTCTGTGGCCACCAGTGCGGCTTTACCCTCTGCCCTTCATCCCACCACAGGAAGCCCAATGGCCCAGCCACCCCAGCTCTGCCTAAGAGGTGTCGAGTGGGAGGAATGTGTGGGTGCCAGCACCCCGGCAGGGGAGGAACAGGGTGTGTTAGCTGGTGTTGGGGTCTTCATTGGCCCCAGACTAAGGCCACAAGTGTGTGACAGGGTTGTCACTGCCCACCCATCCCCACAATGTGCTTGGCATAAGGCCAAGGCCAAGGAGGCTCAGTCCTGAGCAGGGGCCAGGATCCCCTGAGCCCTCAGGGTAGAAAAAGGTTAAGGGTCAGAGGTCACTCAGCACCCCGAGACACCCCCCTTATCATTTCTGAACAGGGCAGTAAAGAAAGTGACACACAGCACACCAGCGCCCTGCATCCTGATGTCCACAGGACTCTAGCCTCCTACCAGCCCACCATGGGGCGAAGAGGAAGAGGAGATAGCTTCTGGGGGCAACAGAGGTGCTTGAAGGCTCCAGTTCCAGGGACCCAGGGCTGCCCTCCCCAGAACCCCCTGTCAGGAGCCCCCTCTGGCCCAGAAAGGTCAAAGGACACTTGACTGGCAGGAACCTGCCCTGTGGACCGTCACCAGCCTGATGCCCCCAACCTCCTTGGCTGTCAGGTCAAGGGATGCCTCTCGCTGCTCTCTGCCCGCTTCCCACTGGTCCCAGGGCACAGAGCTGACTGCCACCTCCCCTGGCTCAGCACAAGCAATGAGGTCTCAAGCGCGCAGTGTCACTCCTGGCCTGTGGCAGCCTGGCCCGGCCACTTTGGCCCACAGCCACCCTCACCACACCCCTGCCACATGCTTGGCCATGTCTTCTGCAGTTCCCGCCCCTCCTCCACACCGACACGCCTTCCAGGGCGCAGGGCCAGCCCAAGACCTGGTGACTCTCTGACCCATGGTCACAGCCACACACCTGTCTTCACCACTCGTCAGTCAAGGGATCTCCAGAGAGCCAGGTGGCCTCGTGTCCCAGAGCTGGCTGGAGGGGCCTCCACACGAGGGATGAAACAATGAGTAAAAGATGGGACAAAGCATGACTGCCACTCAGTGACACCCAAGAGGAGCTCGGGGCCTCCCGTAGGGTTGGGGAGGAGAGCACTGAGGCCTTCTCCAGGCCAGCTTTCCTGCCACAGGTGCCAGGCAAGGCACCGTGCTGGGCAGACAGGGTTGCTTCTTCTTCTTTTTTTTTTTTTTTTTTTTTTTCTTTTTGGTCTTTTTGAGATAAGGTCTTGCTATGCAGTTCAGGCTGACCTTGAGCTTTGTATCCCAGGCTTGCCTTGAGCTCACAACAACCCTCCTGCCTCAGCCTCCCAAGTGCTGGGATTACAGGCCTGCACCACCACGGCCGGCTCAGGGTTGCTCCTTGAGAGCAGCAGCAGAGCCTCCTCAAGCCTCCCAGAAGAGACAGAGCCCCCCAACTTAAAAAAAAGGCAGCACAATGCTCCACAGAGCCACCCCTGCAGGCAGGAGCTGCGTGCCGGGTCTTCACCAGCTAGGCCCCCAGAACCCAGGCACCCCCGTATAGATGTGAGCACACACATGCACACAGGCAGAAAGGTTGAGGGGAAACAGCAGCTCCTGGTCTTCAGGGGACAGGATCCCCGCCCCTCCCTGGTCTTGTTAGTTGCCTCGAGGGCCATGTTTTTTGGCCAGCTGCCTATGGCCAACTTCAGTGAAGAGTCTGGGCTAACAGGACAGAAGTAGGAGTCACTGCTGGCATGGTGGCACACGCCTGTAACCTCAGCACTCAGGAGGCTCTAGCAGGATCGCTACAAGTCAGCAGCCAGCCTGCACAACGTAATGAATTCAAGCTCAACCTGGACTACACAGAGAATTGTCTCAAAAAAAATAAAGTAGGGGTCATGTCGGCAAAGATACCCATGACAAGCCTGTGTGCATATGCTGGCTTCTGTCCTGTGTCACCCACTGCCTGACTGGAAACAGCTTTATTTCCTAGCCTCCTTCCACATTCTTGGGGCCCCAGGGTGTCCAGAAATTTCCAGAAGGCAGAACCCAGAGAGAAAATGACCCCTGCTCTTCCCCAGCATGTTCCTCCTGCTCAAGCAGGCCAAGCTGTCCCTCCACCCACACTGAGAGCGCCCTCGCTCCTGGTCTTTCTAGGTGGTATGATCTTCCAGAATCCAGGGTTAGCTACCTCCAGGGTGTGTCACCCCTCTGCTACTGAAGAGGGCTGGCTGCTGAGGGCCACTCAGTGCAGGAAGCAGTGTCACCATGGCTAAGTATGTAACCTGCCAAGGAAGGCCCCCGTACCACCTATAAGCAGGCCTCCCCTAGGGACACATCCTCTTTTGAATGCCCGCTATGGCAACTCCTGACTGCTCATGCTGCTGGGATCCCCAAAACGGAGGGGCCAAGGGAAATGGGTGTAGGGAAGAGGGACCCGGGACCAGCAACTATCTTATCCAGCAGAGGCCTCCAGCGGTGGGGACTGGAGGAAAGGGGGTCAGACCAGTCAGTCCTGCGCCCAACCACGCCAAAACTCAACCCAGTGCTTGTACCTGGAGGGGCAAGGCGGGCACTTCAGGCTCTGTACCCACCTCCAAGGGGGGCTTGGGTGACTGGGCAGTTCTTCAAGGACAAAGGGCATCAGCCAGACTCCACCTGGAGCTTCTACAAGCTCCTGTCCTTGGTACCCAAGGTGGAGTCTCCTGACATCCCCTAGACTCTCCCCAACCTCACTCAGGGCCACTCTGAACAGTTCTGGAATAAGATGCTCCTGCCCTTGTGCCCCAGAAACTCCTGCCTGCCTGCCTGTCCTCTTTGACCAGTGACAATGGGGGGAGAGGAACCTAAGATATGCCTTGTCCCTGGCCAGAGACAGTCACAGAGGGCCTCAGGGCCAGGCTGTCTCCCGCACGCCATGGCTCCCCAGAGTCCCACCTTGTGAAAGGTGACCTCGGAATGCTGACCCCAGGCTCCAAGATAGGGAGCAGCTGGGGACAGCAGGGCTCCACTCTTGGGGTGGCAGGGACCTGCTCTCTTACTCTGGACAGGACTTTGAAGGACTCTCAAAAGGCCTGAGCGAGCATGTGCTGTGGAGGGGCTGGAAGACACAAGCTCCTTTCCAGCATGGAGGGAGGGCAGGGGCAGAGGAGCCTGAGCTGGGTCCTGAAGCTGCACAGAGGCGGCTGCTCCACAAAGGGACAATCCCCTGCCCAATGGGCCCCTGCAGGTACTCAGGAGTACAAGCCCAATGCTGGGTCAGGCGCTGAGACTGAAAAAAGCCTCCCTCAAGCACTGGCCGCCCACCACCGCGGGGGCAGTGGAGGATGACGGGTGCCAAGGAGCAAGCAAACAAGGCTGGGAGGGGAGGCGGGATCGACCTCTCCGAAGGCAGGGAGGAGCCCTGAGGGACAGCAACATGGCTGCATCACGTCTCGTGTGTCAAATGCTGTGACCACCCGAGATCCAGACCCTCTTCCCGAGGACCCTGCACGTGTGGGCCCTCACGGATCTGTCTGTGTCCTGTCACGGAGAAGCTGAACAAGCACAGCCCTGTTCCCTCACCGCGACACGCTCAAGTCTCCACAAAGCTGCGGACTCCACAGTGGCTGCTTCTGCCGTCAGCCAGGTGGAGCTGGGGACAGAGAAGACCCCAGGGTCCAAGCCCCTGGTGGTGCAGGGGAAGGGCAGAGACTGGAAGAGGGTGCTGGAGGCAGCTGGGACTCAGCTACTGGCCCCTGGAGCCACTGGATGGAGCACTGCAGGTCTCATCAGCCACCTCCCTCCCCAGGTGAACAAGGCTCAGGCAGCATCTGTCCTGCCCCCTAGTCAGCACCTGGTGCACACAGTCTTCTGAGAAGCTGAGGTCCGAGCAACCACGGCCAGAGGCCAGCCGGGCTCAGGAGTGTGTGAGGATCTCACAGAGAGCTGGGGGTGAGGCGATGCTACGTGGGGAGTCCAAAGCCATGCTCGAGTTCCACGTGACTTACCAGCTCTCTCGGGCCACAAGCCCAGGCCAGGGTCCAAAAGGCAACCAACCCAAACAAACTGCACAGGACTGTTGGAATTTGGAAAGTTTTTGTTTTCTTTTTCCCACACATTTCCGGGGTTGGGGTGTTTTCCAAGACTCAGACACATTTGTTAACAAAGAGAGAAAAAAAAACTGGGGGAGCAGGGAGCCCATGGGCCAAGAGGTGACCCCAGCAGTCCGCAGAAGCCACCTTGCTCCCTCCTTTCCCTGTGCCCGCGCCCAGTGGGTGCCACAGGCTGCTGCTCTGGTATCTAGATTATTTGTCTTTAATATATATCTGCATTTGCCTCTCCCCGCCCCCCGCCCCCACCCTGCTCCTCCAGCAGCTTCCCCAGCAATGCACGTCGCCCGGCGGCACTCAGAAGAGGCCTTAGCCAGGCCCGAGCCCCTTCCCTGGGTGGTCCCGGAGGCACCTCTCTTGGTGAGGGGAGCTGGGGCATTTGGGGCCCCCACCACTCCCCATCCACCCACTGGGCTGCTCCAGGCCCACCCTCCCGCCATTCCCCCACCAATTCTGGAAACCCAAAAGGAGGAAAGGGAGAAATCAGAAACACGCACCAGAAAGGAAGAAAGAAAGAGAAAGAAAGAAACAAAGAAAGAAAGAAAAAGAAAAAGAAAAGGAAAGAAAAAGAGAGAGAGAAAGAGAGAAAGGGGAGAAAAGAAGGAAAAGGAAAAAAACGTGGGGAGGGAGGGTGGGGACGGAGACACAGCAAGCCTGAGGAGGGGACTGAAGGGTTTGGGAAGAGAAGGAAGGCAGAAGGACCGAAGAGAAAGAAGAAAAACAGGGAAATGAACAGGACACACAGCGGACACTTTACAAAACCCCAGCCTTCCTTCCCACCCAACCCCACCAAAATAAAACTACCCCCCCTTAAAAAAATAAATCAACCCAGGGCTGTGAGCCGTGCCCTGCCCGGTGGGCACAGGGCCCAGAGGGACAGACAGCCTCGGGGCTGACAGTGCGGTGCTGTGGGCAACAGGAGGAAGGGGACGAGCGCGGGATTATTCCGTTTCCTTTTCTTTTTTTGCGTTTCCTCTTCGGAGAGAAGCCTGAGGCAGCCAGGGAGAGGGTCCCCGCCCCGGCTGGGAGAGGGCCGCCCCCTCCTCCCCGGGCTTTCCCGGGAGGGGCAGCAGCTGGCAGTGGGGCGCCGTGCCGGCTGGGGGCTCAGACATAATACTCCTTGTCTTTGTTCTTCTTGGTCTTGCTGGGCGTCTTGGGGGCGGCCGGGGCCTTCTCCTTCACCACCGCCCCGTTGCTCTGGGCCGAGTTACTGATGTAGTTCCGGCTCTGGTCCACCTGGTAGGAGCCCTCGTCGCGGTTGCGGTACTTGTACATGGCGTAGAGCAGGATGAGGATGCAGAGCGCCGCGGCCGCCACGATGCCCACCACCATGCCCGTGGTGCTGCTGGACTCCCGGATCACCTCCACCGCGCCCGGCGGGCCCCGCTCCCCCGGGCCCGTGGGGTTGGCTGTGGGCAGAGGAGGGAAGCCGGGGGCTGAGGTCACGCCGGGGCGCAGAGGCGGGGGTCTCCGCGGCTCGAAGGACGTGGGGGCCCCGGGCCCCGGGGGTGGGTTCTCCAGCAAGGGCTGCAGCGGGTCTCGGTGGTTCATTTTGCCCGCCGGCAGATTGGGGGCAGGGGCGGAGGGGGCGAGCAGCACCCCGGGGGCGCCCGTGGCCCCGTCTGTCCTGAGGTTGGGCCTGGGGGCGGGTTTGCGGGGCGACAGGAGCGTGGTGCGGTCCGTGACCAGGGGAAAGGTGGTGTAAAAGTCCTCGTCGTCCGTAGGGGGCAGGCTGGAGTCAAAGACCTCCCCGGAGGCGAAGCCCGAGGCCTCGATGGGCTCCTCGCAGTCGCTGTCGTCGTGCTCGGCCTGGCACGGGCCCCCAGGGGGCGGGCGGCGCGCGGCGGGCGGGGGCAGGGTGTCCTGCGTGGCGCCCACGCCCGGGAGGAAGGGGTAGAAGGTGGGGGGCGGGGGCACGAAGGGGGACCGGGTGGCCACAGGAGGGGGGTCTAGGGAGTCCTCCGTGATAATGGGCAATA